TGTTATTATTAATAATCAAATTGTTATTACATTTATAATATTGTAGCACACAAATGCCCATTCAGGTCACAGATACAGACAAACTCCTAATTCCATAAAGCTGATAGTCTAAAAGGCTCAAGAACAGATGCAGGACTGGATATAGGAGAAATAACATATAAGCAAATTCACATGTTGATGATTGGTGCAATTTCCTGTTTTGTTATTACTGTTTCTTCAAGTAGGGGGAGGGCTGAGTGAGGGGGAATGGCGGGATTGGGGTGGGGAGGTTGGTAAAAATAAGGAGAGGGAAGGAAGGGGAAGAGGCACAGCTACGCCTCCTCACTTGCCAAGCTAGTCACTGTCAAGTGTTTTTCTGGAATCACAACAGAGCAGAGTCTCGAGGAGGGATTCGAAGGAGGATCAGGTGTTCGCTGCACAGATTTTCTCAGGGAGTTTTCTCCATACAGAAAGGGCAGCATGGGAGAAAATGCAAAACTAAAGAGTTAAAGACATTTATCTTAACCCGAGTATTTGTAACAGTTCTCTTTAGGAAGAGCCTGAGGTAGGTGTGGTGTCAGCCAGTCTTTATTCTGTGTTATATGCCCCTTGCCTTGTGCTTGTTCCTTGAATTGTCTGTGTCCCAAGAATCAAGTAAACTTATTTCCAAGGCGTCTTCCCCCTACTGACAGCATGGTGTGTGCAGGGCATCCTGCTACTGCAAAAGAGAGAGTCATGGCCTACTCAGGAAGCCCTAAGCTCTGCCTCTACCACTAATGATCATGGTCTAGTCAGGAAACCCCAAGGTCTATTAGTAGAATAATATTACAGGTGGTGCTGGGTAATTTCTCTTGTACAACAACTGATCTGAGTGACACAACCTGGTTCTAGTGATTTGTCTTTGTCTACAATTGGGCATGTCCTATACTGAGAATTGGTCTCATAATGATCACCTTTGGCACAAGGGATTTTTTTCCTAGTTTATAAAATAACCTGCCTCTAATATCTCCCAATTCATGTTTAATATGATATTGAATCTATTGGGATGAGAAACAGCACGGATACAGTTTGTGCAGAACTTTTCCTTTTCCCTCACTGAAGATTGGGGGTTACCCGATGATCTGAGGCTGTGGTAAACCTGACGTCAGGAGGGGGCTCATCACTCCTATATGGTGATGTTTGTTGCTTTCAAGTTTTATTGGATGTTTTAGCTCCATAAAGTAACAGATAAAACCACTAATAATAACTAAAAAGGCAGATGGGTTTTCTATTGGTTCCTTCCTGCAGCTGATGCCAGCCTCTGAATCTATATATTTCCCTTCCACTGCTTTGTTGTCACGTGTCAGACACAGAGGAGGCCTGGCAGGTGCTTAGGGGCAGCCAGTACAGTGTGAGGAGTGGACAGCAAGTCAGGCTGGCAATGAAGGGACATCTCTCCACTCTGGTGCTGTGGCTTCTTCTCCTCACAATTCAGGACATAGAATGTAAGTCTCCTCTGTGTTTCACTAGGGCAGCTGGGTTAACTGGAATGAGGGTTAACTTTTATAGTCAACTTTTTACCATCGGTGCCTGGCTAGGAGGATGTGACTTTTCCTTTCAGGATTTATTGGATCTTGCCACTGTTACCGAGGCCTTTGTTACCTTGAGATTGGACTATTGCAGTGACCGCTGTGTGGGGCTGCACCTTAAAACTATTCCGAGAACAAAGCTGGTGCAAATGGCAGCGACTCACTGAGCAGGGCATCTCGCCGGGAGCATGTTACAGCCGTGCTGCAGGGTCTGCACTGGCTGCCCAGCTCTGGGTGGAGATTAAGATATTGGTGATGATTTATAAAGACCTAAATGGCCTGGGACCAGCCTCCTTGAGGGATCACCTCTCTCCCTTTGCTGTACGGCCAGAGCTGTGGTTAGAAGGGGTGCCCGAGCTGGCTCCCCCTTTTATAAAGGAGAAGAGTAGCTGGCAGCGTGCTCTTTGTGAGTACGCTGGAGACCGATATCATTTTTGGGTGTAAACTTTATCAGGAGAACACACTGAAAAGACATTTTAAAAATAACATCAAGTTTAGGAAGTCGGGAACAAACTCTGGGCAATTCCAAATAATTTATATTTGTAATTATTATAGCAAAATGCCTTGTGGAGCAATCCTTCGGGACTAGATCCCAGTCACCACTTTCTACATCATCCTTCCCTCCCCCCCGCCCCCCCCTCGTCATCTTAGAGCTCTAGGATCCTTTCAATCGCTACTAAAATGTATCAGATAATGTGATATGTGAAATCCCCCAGTTTGAGGGTTCCAGAGAAGAGCTCCTCTTACCACCCTGAGAGTGGAAGTGCTGAGAGATCCCCATGGACCAGTGAGGCTGGTGCATCTCCAACTTGTAGTTTGTGTCTATCTTCACTATGAATATTCTCTTAATTACTTCACATCTTCATGTCACATGCCCCTGCCCTGAAGATGACCCAGTTTGGGGGCAGAATGATGAGGAAGGCACTGGGGCAAGTGACAGGAACAGGGATTCACAGACAGGTGACAGGTTTTAGAGTAGCAGCCGTGTTAATCTGTATCTGCAAAAAGAACAGGAATACTTGTGGCACCTTAGAGACTAACCTGGCAATTTGCTGACTAGGCTTATTTTGGCAAAGCAAGGTTATCTTTTGTTTGTTCTGCTTCTATTAGCTAATCACTATTTGCTAGGCCTCTGGTCTCTTGACCAAACTCTGCACTTTTGGTCTGGAAAAGAGCTGGCACAATCCATATGTCAGGTTGTTATATAAAATGTGCATGGATTGTAACCCTTCACTGTACATGACCAAAAAGCAGAGAATTATATAGTGACAACTGGTGAGGGATAAATGACTGTGCAGTTATTTGTGGAGAGTGTCCTATAATGATGCCAAGCACATGTTCAGCTCAGTGTATTTTTGTTGGACTGATGTGCATCATCCCCTAGAAAGTTTTTATTTTCAATGGGAAATTTGAGTATGCTTCACATGATGCAGACAGAGTGACACGGGGGAGTTTACAATATAGGGGATATCACCATGTAGCTACTTTTCCCTTTCCCTCAGTGCCCCAGTTCTCCACCCTGAGCCCCGAGTAGAGGCCATGTCAGTCTTTGCCAGAAGATCGTGTTTCACAATTATTGGCCTATTTAAATTGTGTGGAAAAACAAATTTGTACAATTATGTGGGGTCCAGGCAAACAAGTGATAAAATATCAGGGACGGACTAAAGCTGCGAGTTTCACTCTCAGCCCCAGATCTGAACTTCCCCAGGGCTCAGGGTGCTGCGTTCGGGTCATTATTCCAAGTGGGGCCACAGAATTAGTGGAAATATAAGATAGATTCAGTATGCAAATATGATTGTTATCCTCAGGGCTGGATTTAAACCTATGCGCCCCTAAGCACAGCTTCTTCAGCGCCCCTTCCCCTCCCCATGTGGCCCTGCCTGGAGCCCCCCTCCTTCCCCATGTGGCCCTGTGACCCCCAGCAGCCCTGTGTGGCCCACTCTGTCTCCTAACTGGGCTCTAAGATGGCTGCTGTGACTTTTC